CCTACACCTGCCAGTTCGAGCTGGCTATTGTCCAGTCCCCCCTCTACGTGGTGTCTCATCCTCAACACAGCAGCATTCTAAAGAGATAAGTGTATATACACAAGTGTATATACAGTGTAGCCCAGACTTGGGGCCCAGGTTTGAAAGTTGCACAATGTCCCTGCTGCCACATTCTATTGACCAAATCAGGTTCCAAGCCCAGCCCCATTTCTCAATGGTGAGTGGGGAGGCCTGTGGTTTCTGAGAGCACACGCCCACCAAGAGCAGAAAGCTGTTTATCTCCAATAGGAATCTATGCCATGTGGCCCATTGCTACTAGATATTTTTTTATTTTTCGTAAAAGTCAGAAAATCAACATTTTATGTGACATTTAAAAATTTTTATAATTGACAACTTATTTACATTATTCAACAGCATTGTGTGGTTCACAAACATTCCTAAGGGGTAAATGCAGCCTGTGAGCCACACACAACCTTGGTATCAGATAACAAGATCTAGGAAAACAACTCCCATTCTCCAAATAACAGTGGAAAGGAATTTCAGAAGTTCATACTCTCTCCTTGGCCTGTGGGGCATTAGTCCATGACTTGGTTTAATTCCCTGTATAGGCAATCAAAAATGGAAGAATAATAGAAAAGTAAATAGGAATACCTAGGGTTTTCTCCCTTGAGACACCTCTCTCCACTTTTCAGGTTAGAACCTTATGTGGAAATGACTATCATTCAATCACTTATGGAAATGTGGACAGAAGTCTAGACCATGAGAGTGTGAGCATGGGGTGTATGTGTCTTTTCCACTGATGATGCCTGGCTCACATTCAGAGAATAAATGAAAGGCAGCTTCTACATCTCAGCATTGACTTGTTGGGAAGCTCCTACTATGTGACAGGCATTGGGCTTTGATTTGGGCATCTCACAGTCTTATTACCAGGTGCTCAAAAACCTCAGAGAGGTTCATCTGCCCCAGGAGGCTCCACTGTTGGTAACTGGCAAGACTGAGCTATAGGAGAGTTCAGTTTAATACTGAAGTTCATGCTCTTTCCAGCAGTACCAGTGGGTAAGTTCTGTGCTTATGTCTCATGATCTGGGAGTTGGGTGTAAGGCTCTGTGTGCTTGAAGAGCAAGTAAAGGACAGACTCAGGGCCATCAGCAAATCCAGAGAGCAAGAGAGTTTGGCTCCCTGAGCTGCAGAGAACCGACTTCAGAACCAGTGAATGAACCAAAATGTGATGGGCTTAGAAGGGGCAGTGGCCGACAAAGCCATTGCTAGTAACTGCAACCATTACTGCCATGGCTGGTGGTAACATTTTTGTTTCTTGGGTCCTACTCTGGTGTCCTCAGAGAATAAGGTATTTCGTATTCAGTTTCTGCTGTTGTCTCCAGCTAGGAAAAAATGTTTGGATCCAATCGCCTCTTAAATAGGCATTTTGTAGTTTTGAGAATGGAAACGGCACTCCCCATCACTAAAATGGGAACATGATGATGATGGGAACTGGCCTGACTTGTTCATTGTTTTAGCGCCCCAGTGCCCCAGCCGGACCTTGCTTGGCATGTGTTTATTGGAGACGTTGGTCTTATAAAACAATTCTCCTCATCACTCTACCATTGCACCTGCTCACCGGAGCCCACCCTTGTATGCAGAGGGCTCCAGAGCACACGCTGCTGTTTGCAACCCAGAAATACAGCACACCGGCCCTACGAATGCATGAGCAGGAGGAGGAATAATTAGAGGAACACTGCTGATTTCACACTTTTTGTTTTAAAGAATTATTTTATTTAACTTTATTTATTTATTTTAATCTGACCAGAGAGGGGGTGGGGAGTGAGAAAGCCAGCCGCCAGGTCCAGGACTTGAACCGCAGTTGGCCATGTGGGAGTCCAGCACCCTTAACCACCATGCCCAGTTAGTGAAAGGTTTACATAAGAACAAAACAAACAAATAAACAAACAAAACAAAAACAACAATAAGAAGAGACCAGACATACAGAACACATTATGGAGGGGCTAGATGGCATAAATGGCAGTACACTGTAGAATGCCATGTTCTGTGCCCTTTTACACCCTTCCACATGGGAATGTCATGGGTTCTTGGCTAGAGACACCCCTGAGTGCTGGGTGATTCAGCCAAGCTGAATCCCCTGATTCAGGCTGGCTGAGGCTGGGGCCAGATTGCAGTCAGTCCTCTGTCAGGGTGCTGTCTCTGTATCTCTCTCTCTCACTCTCATGGAAGAAATAAACTTAATAAAAAGAAGAAAAATAAAACATTGATTGCAAAGCAAAGAAGGGATACATGTATCATGTTCAAGGCTTCATTAAAAGGAAAATTCAGGGAAACTGTCTTGATTTGACAAATCTCATTCTGAATGCAAACGTGTAGGCCCAGCCATCTTCATTTGTGCAACACTTGGATGGCAGACATTTCTGACTGTGCTTGTTTATGAGGGCTCAGCTGGGAGAAACCTGCTTTAGCTGACCACGAGTCCCTCCAGAACCAAAACCCGTGTGATTTGAATTCCTGAAAACACTGAACTGTTTCTAGAATAAACACATTGTAGAAGGTTGGGCCTGGGGAAAGGAAGACTTGAAAACTCCATTGATGGAGAAGATTAAAACTCCTCATCTGTTTGGTTGGGGTACTCTGGATATATTTTGCTTTCTCCAGAAGAAGTCTAAAGCAAGCTTTTGATTAAAATAGGATATATTTTAAGATTTGTGGATTATGCAGTCATGAAAACATTTAAGGAAATGGGTATGGTTGTGTTCCAGTGAAACTTATTTTATAAAAACAGGACACTCAGTCTTAATTTGTCAACGCATGCCCTAGAGAAGTGGCTGAGAACCTCGGTTCTCTCCAGAACATCTGGATATTCCAGTGAATGTTCCTCACCCAAATTGACGAGCACTCTTACCAGAACCCTCTCATGCTGGCGTCCTCATATTGAACTTCCTGCTTCAGAATTGGCGTAAGAGCCACTTCTGTTGCTAAAGCCACCTAGTCTATGGTACCTTGGCATGGCAGCCTAAGCTGACTAATACAAAGCCTAATTTTATTATTTTCTAGGAAACTTTCCTTTGAACTAAAATATTTTTTACATAATAAGGAGGTTCTCTGGTTGGGGTTAGAGGTTAAAGGAATGAGAAGATGCAGGAAAAAGTGCAGGTATCGATCCCTCTCTATATTCTGCCGAGTTCGACATCTGTAAAATGACTTCTTGGCTTGCTGTTTTCTTCTGGAAAACTGTCAATTCACGATATATTAAAATGCCCATATTTTTACATAAGAAATTAAGCGTCTATATTTTGAATATCTAGAAAGAAATGTTTCCTTCCAGTCTTTGAAAACCAACGTTTTCCCCCAATACATCACACAATTATCTAATGACCACCTTTCCATTTTCCCCTGTGGTGTAGACTGGCTGAGGATCAAGAACATCCCACTGAAGGGTGTGTCCTGGACAGGACATTAAACTCACAAGGCAAGCACCAGACTTACGAGGTCCAGATACCTTCAAGAACTAAGCTGAGCCATGCTGAAGAGCTGTAAGGCCATGACTAGTTTCTACTCTTCTTTTTTTTGTGTGTGATTATAGAATTTGTCCTTCTTGAAAACAATAACAAAAAATTATTGCAGAGATTAGCAGGGTGTCAGGTACAAATTTTATAAGCATTGTAAACAGCAATATTCAATGTGAAATGTTGAACAGATGCATAATAGCTTCCCAAGGCTTTAGATTATTTACATTTTGAAGTTTTTAATCAGACATTGCAATACAAAGGATACACTATTTGAACGTTGGTGGGTAGTCCTGGTGTCAGAGAAGGAAAGGTAGTTAGGTGATCCTGTCTGTCTCCCATTCCCACGACACACGGTTCTTGCAGAATGCTACACTCTAAACTACTGCTGCAGAAGAGGCAGTTATTGCACTGACCGCTCCCCAAGCTCCTCGGAGTACATGGCATTGCCTCTTCACACGTGAGCATTTGCCTTTGAAAAGATGCAGGAAAGAAACCTGCCACAGAGCCCAGCAGAAAGTTTCTGGTTGGAGACTCGGTGGGTTTTCAGTTCATTAGCTCTCTCCTCTAGCTCATTCATTCTACAAATAGTCATTGACATCTTCTATGGGGCAGGCAGTCTTTGGGGTTACAGCATGAAAAAGAGACAATCAAGTCCCTGCCTCATGGAGCTTATAGTCTAGTAAGAGGAGACAAACACAGATACAGCGTATCACAGAGTTCAACATGGCTTAGAGAGATCCTGCCTGAAATCTGTTTCCTGTCATGTCCTCCTCTTAGGGCAGGGATGAAGTTAGACTCAGCAATTTTCCCAGACCCGGTTCTACCATCTATAGACAGAGTGGGTTTAGTGGGTCCTTCACCCACTCCAAGCCTCTTTCCTCATCGACAAAATGGAAAGGGGCTGGGTTAAATGATTTATTAAGATAAAAAAGGTCCTTTCAGGTTTTTTTTTTCATGGCTTCATGGAAACATATTGCACAAAGTCAAGAGTAAGTTTGTTACCTGTTCTAAGGTTTAAAAATATTTAAAAATAAGGGCCAGCAGATGGCACAGCAGTTATATCACTGGACTCCCACAAGACTGACCCCAGTTCGAGTACCAGACCTGGTGGCTTCAAATTCACACTGGGGCATGCGTGTGGGTGCCCGAGATCCCCGGAGGAGAATAGAGAAGGGATTATTGCGGGTATCCCCCCAGGTGGTGATTTCTCACTTTCACTCTCACTGCCTCTGTCTTGTTCTCTCTCCAGCAAGTCTATGTGTCCCAAGGCAAAAACTCTACCAAAAAATAAATAAAATTTAAAATAAAATATAAGAAATTCTTAGGTATTCCACATAAACTCATCACTTCAAATGTCAATCTAAATTTGTTTAATAAATATCAAATATCTTCCTTACAACTGCCAAGGAATGAACTCACTTTACCAACTTCAGCCATATGAAAAATGTTATTCATAGAAAACATATTTTGTTCCATTGTTGGGTATGAAATCCCACCTAATTTGCAAATGTTCTCTGGCTGGGAGTCCCCTCCTGGGTAGAACACTCTCTCTCTTTCTGCCAACCCATATCGCTGACTATGCTCCTGCATAATCTTTTGACTGGAGTATCAGCTCCATGAGAACAGGGGTTGGGTTCTTGCTCTTCTGAACAACCCACACGTGATTCTGCACAGGTGATCCACAGGCGTGAGCAGCCATCCTGTCTGGACCTTGTCCATGGGCTCAGACCTTTTCAGGAGCTCACAGGAGCTCTTCAGGCTGTAGTGGTTCCACTTAGTGAAACTGGAGCTAGGATATACCCAAGTGTGCTCTAATATTCGAAAAGGAAAAAAAGGTTTCCAGGACAATTCATAGACTAGCATAGTGGAAACTAATAAATACCCTAACTTCTCTAGGAACCCTGCTGGAATGTATATTTAGTATCATTGTATCAATGTATATTTAATATCACAAGAGGCACATATTCTACAATCAGTTAACTTTTCTTAAAGAAGAAGAGGAGAGCCGAACGTCAAATACGGTTACACTCACACTTACTAGTTTGGTAAGAGTATGAAGCCTCTGATTCTCTCAAATGGCATTCATGACTTTGACTTTGAAATGAAGAGAGTCAAATTTCAATTTATCCAGTAGCTGAAGGTGACAGAAAATTTTGCAGGACGGGAAAGGATCTTTTCTTATCTGAATTGGATCCTACCGACGCTTTGGAGGTTTCTGAGGGCTGTGTGCTCTGAGTTTTATCTGGTTGCTGTGTAATCAAATGTCGTACAAATGTTTTCGAATTTGACCAAGTGGGCCCTATCACAAAGACACACCTGGTCAGTACCTCTGCGAGCAAAGTGGAATCTCTGCCTCCATATTGGAGCTTAACTCCTGCCTGTTGCTCTGTGGTGTCGAGATATGCTGTCAACATTATCGGAAGTGTGTAACACGGGCTGCAGTGCAATCTAAAATCTATCCTGTCCTTACAGCGACTAAAACAGAATGACGACCATTTCCTCGTCTTCAGGACCAGATGGACGGGGCGGCCCATGTAACCTCGCTTCACAACACCTTAGAATAGTAAGTGATAACTCAGACAGTCCAGAACAGACTACGAGGGGAGGGCAGGGTTAGCAGACACCGGCTGCATGAACAGAGGATCAGACGACGTTCGGCAGCCTGGACCAGTCACTGGTAAATCACTGTGAGCAAAGGAAATGGATTTCGCATACATCATGACATTTGATTACATGTTTCAAGTGGCTGAGTACATGCTACTGACAAGCAGGTAGCCCCCTTTCACAAGGACTGGCAGGAGGAATGAGCAAGCCTTCAGTGTCCTTCCACCAGTAAGGCTACAGCCCTTCCCTAGCATTCAGAGTCCATAGGCTGGCTGGCTGCACATCAGGCCTGGCTTTGGCTGTGAGGTTCCCAGGAAGTCCCTGTGTGCAGTGCGTGGTTGTCAGGATGAAAGCCCTTGAGCTGCGAGGGAGTGTAACTCTTAAGTCCAAACTTCCATGGGCACTATAGCTTCTTTGGTTCCCACAGAAGGCAGCAGGCTTTCTTCAGACAAGAAATAAAAGGGGAATTGCACCAAGAACCCACGGATCTTTTTCAGTTCCTCCTCGGCTCTAATGGGATCTTCTCTGGCCAATATGGGCTTGTTTATAAAGTCTCTCAGCTGAATTAAATTGTGTACTTCATCATTGGGAAGGCACCGGAACACCTGATTAAAGCACAAGTAGGAAACGGAGTGATAAGTTTAAAAGAAAGCATATGCACTATGTGGAAAATACTCATTCCAACAAGCAAAATCTTTGTTTTATGAAACCATTTTTTATTTTTTAAAATTTGCTGTAGGGTATGTGTACTCACAATAGAGAGAGTGAGAACCTTCCCCCTCCCCAGGGGAGAATGGCCATGTCACCATCCCTTCTCCACTGTCCTCTGAGGATCTGGGGCATGCATGCACACAGGCCTGGCTTGTTCCTCAAGCTGCCAGGACTGGGACTCATCCTGCTCAGCCGGTCACGTGCGATCCAGCTACCTCAGCCGCTTTGCCGCTGGCTGGTCCCCAAGACCATTACTTTTATGTTAAAGCACAGACTAAACTTGAGTTGCTTCTCCTTTTTGCTACAAACACACAGCTAGGATTGCTTCTATCAGAACAGTTGCAGCTAGATCCTCATATCTTATCTGCACACGTTATTGGCCCCAGGATAAAATCAAGCTACTGGGAAAGAATTTCCCTGCGGTTACTCCATGTGAAGGTTAATTTTTAGGATAATAATCATCCTGAATGTCACCAGAGGTTCTGACCTAAGAAGAAAATTGCACTTCCTCTAACTTTTTATTTTGAAAGACGTCCCTATCTGTGTTTTTACTTACAGCTATCAATGGTTAATCTACGACAGTTACTTTGTTGGTTTCAAATGAGTTTCCGGCATCATGATACTTCTCCTGGGACTATTTCATCAGGTATTTCTTAAAAATAAGAACATGTGTCTATATAATCATAATATTTCCATCTAATAAAATGAATTCCATGCTATCATTAAGATACGGTCCATATTCAGATGTATCCTATTTTCTTTCAAATGTCTTTCCTAACTATTTCCACTCTGCTCCTGCATCTGTAAGGTTATATCGTAAGAGACTCCACGTACACAACCTATTTGATCAGGGTCTTGGATTTTCAGCTTGGAATAAGGCTGTGCAGATGCCGTCATGTTTCCTCAGGAATGAGGCAGTCATCACGCTGCAAAGCACTCTGGAGTTTTGAACAACACGCTCTTACCTGTCTCTCATGGATGGCCAACCAACCTCAGCCTGCACCTTTCCCTGCCGAGTTCCTCGGAGCACCTGTGCCATTGTCAGACAGCTCCTGCCTCCTGTGCCTTCTCTATCACAACCAGGGGACAGAACTTACCAGGACACGCATTTGCAGTGCATCCAATGGAGTAGGTCTTAGAAGACTTTTTAAAGACTGGAGCATGCTTCTTTATTTATTTATATTGGTTTCTTTCAAAGGACTGCATGTACTCACCAAAGACATACAGAAAGGGGGGTAGAGTAAGAAATCATCCACCCAGGGAGAATGGCCACACTGCAGTCCCTTCCCTTCCATTCTCCTCTTGGGATATGGGGCAGTTACACACATGCACCCGGTGTGATTTTCCAACCAGGTGGGTCCAGCACTCAAACTGCAGAGTCAGCCATGTGGGATCCAGCACCTAAACCTCCATGCTACCTGCTGGCCTGAACTGTCTTATTATTAAAAAGAAGACTTCATCCTAAGGAGAGATCACATTTACTACGTACCATGTGCTAAATACATCAAGGAGACTAAATTTTTACTCTCATACTCTAATGAATATCGCTCCCGATTCACAGGGACAAAAGAAGGTTCAGAAAACCGAGTCACTGTGCACAACGTTACGTTAACTAGCAATAGTGAGCTGCGTTGAACCCAGCTCCAACTCACTTTCTGGCCCTGTCTCTCTCCTGTCACATGTACAAAGTAGGTCACAACATGCTAAGAACACACACGATGAGGTTCCTCCATCAGGTAATTGATCACAGTGCGGCCAGAGCCTCTTCTAAACCCTAAGCCAGGATCCGTTTTTCATTCTTTCCTTTCTCCAAGATGCATCTGCAGAGCCTAAAGGAATACTGGCTCTTTTATGCTCTTTAAAAATGTTTTGTAGGGACCAGTGGGTGGCATAGTGGTTAAGGTGTTGGACTCCCACATAGTCAGCTGGGTTTGAGCTCTGGACCTGGTGGTTTGATACTTATGCTGGGCATGTGTGTGTGTGCATGCCCAAAATCCCAGGAGGGGACTGGAGGAGTGGAGGAGCAGGGACTGCGGTGTGGTCATCCGTCCAGGGGATGATTTCTCGCTTTCTGTTTCTCTGTCTCTCTGTCTCTCCTGCAAGCACATGCACACTATAGCAAAAATCTCTCAAAAAAATTTTTGTGTCAATAAATGCATGGGGAAAGATGTGCTTTTAGATGAGATTCAGTGAGAGAAAAATAAAAGGGAGGGGAGTGTATGAACCTCACCTTATCATAAATGGTAGCATTTCGCGCTGCAGTTGAAACCCACACTTCTTTGAAGAATTTGTCACTCACTGGATCCTGAATGTCCTCACTTGGGTCAGAAAGATAGCCAAGAACGACCCTGAAATACAAGAGCTCTACGAATTGAGTGAAATAAAGTCGTTCCTAGTAGTAACAGTAATTCAGGCACTTAACCATAGAACTTATTTTTTTTAAAGGAAATCAAAGGAAACCATTAAGATGAAGTGTGTTCGTGTGTGTGTGTGTGTGTGTGTGTGTGTGTGTGTATCCTAAGCTGTGTGTGTGTGTATCCTAAGCTGTGTGTGTGTGTGTGTGTGTGTATCCTAAGCTGTGTGTGTGAGTGTGTGTGTATCCTAAGCTGTGTGTGTGTGTGTGTGTGTGTGTATCCTAAGCTGTGTGTGTATGTATATGTGTGTGTGTATCCTAAGCTCTGTGTGTGTGTGTGTGTGTGTGTGTGTGTATATCCTAAGCTGTGAAACAAAACAAATAGAACAAACAAAAACCAAGTTGCTGTCACGTGAGTGTTTAAACGGCTGGACAGAGAGAAACCTTCATTTTGTTCTAAGAGCATCCTGTAATTTGGGCTCAGGTGGAAAGAGCCTTGACGGATAGGACTAACACTGAGAGCATGGGCCAGGAATTCCAAGTTCAGTCTCCCTAAATCCTCACTAGCCCTGTGAAAACCAACCCAGTATTTAAAATGTTACTTTTTCCATTACACATTTAAAAAGCATTCAACTAAAAGTGTCCACATGCTGCACAGTCATTTTGCACAGGTGCCAGTGGTGGGCCGCACCCTCTCACCAGGGAGATGCTGCAGACTGAGGGAGCCTGGCACGCACATGCCCAGGGCAAGGCTGGGGTGGGGGAGCCACGTGAGAGGCGGCTGTGGAGGGCCCACCTGCAGCACTGCAGCCGAAGTCCGTGGGCAAACCGGCCAGCCTGGTACTCTTGCCCATCCATCAGCGAGGGGACTGTCTCTGTGTCCTGCACGATGATGGCCATTTCGCTGTCACGCTTCCCCAGCATGCTTCTGTCGTTTATGTTAGCAGAGCCTGAAAGGGACAGGTGAAGCTGACCATTCTCCCCCAGCAACCCGTTTAGCTCAGATTACAAGGGAAGCCACGCTTCAGGCGGTCACATGAGCCCACCTCGCCATTTCATTACGTTTGTCAACCACCGGTTTAAGAATGGGTCCAGCCCACATGACGTGAAAGCGAGTCTTCTAGCGAGTTCCTCTGTTTAAAGGAACACCAAAAGCATTTGCTGTCTCTTCCAGCCTTTAGCTGTTTCAGCTTGAAGGGTTGGAGGAGAACTCGATTCTGGGAAACGCTACAAACATTTTGCAAACATTAGGGGACAGACAGCCCAGCAGGGTGTCAGGGCAGAAATGAGAAAGAGTCTGGTCTTCAAGTCCATGAACTCACTGACGCTAGAACTTTCTGAATTTCTGTTCCATGAAATAATACACTTTACTTACCATTTTATATGTTTGTGGCTCAGAGGATTCTAATGTAATCATAAGCCCTCGGAGACGAGCTTACTCTTCCAGGGTAGATGTTTTTACATTCAGAGTAAGAATCAGACTCTGGGCCTTTAATTCACAGCCATGTCAGTATGAATGTCGGAATCCAAGGGCACCTTCGCAGTCAGTCCTGCCTAACCTCAAATACCACCGTCATGAGTGGCTAACGCGTTCAACACTACTCGCCCCACACGTGCGGCATGCCAGCAGCTCCGTATCAGCTTTGCTCTGTTCTATTTTTAAATCCAAATGAGCTGAGAATGTTGACTTTCACATGTGAAGGGCAAATGCTTTCAGTATTTGTATTTAGTACTTTCAGTAGTTGTATTCAGAAAACCCACCCTGCGTCCTGCCTTTATACCGAGGACTCACGCTTTTGAATCCTTGAGGTGTCCTATACACGACAGCACAGGCCCACTGACCTACTGCTTGTGCTGCGTGCCCTGGTTGCAACATTCCGCTGCTGCTGCAGATGGGAGAAAAGGGCCCGGTGACTGGCACTGGCTGTCTCTGAGCAGCCGGAGGTCTCAGGTGACAGCAGCCTTGCTGTGTGCCCAGAGACAGAACTTTGTGAATGAGAAAAAGCTGCCCTTTCCTGAAGAGACTCCATGGCTGTGGTTTCCCCGACACTGCCACAGAGGCAGAGCCCAAGTCGGTAATGACTGTAGATCTGAGTGGAGCCCCGTGGGGACCCAGGGCGACAGAGAAAGGAGGTAGCATTCTGGGGTGCTGTAAAGTGGGAACTTTGGAAATACTTTGATTGGGAAGCAACAACTCTTCCTTTACAGTTCACTGACTTTTTCATTATGTTATAAAATCTGCATCCGTATCTTTGGCCTTGACAGGTGGTCCGCATTAACTCAGGCAAGTCACTTAATCTTGCTTGGTTTTAATTTCATCTTTCATAGACTGAGATAAAACAGACTTTGTAGGATTGAGGTGGGAATTAAATAAGACCATGTGAGCTACCAACTTCTCTATAAATGTTAATTATTAGTGGTATTATCAGATAATTGTTATCTTTGTAATGTCCATACCAGAGAACATTGCCATAGGAAGGAATAATCTGCAGAAATATAGCATTTGTATCAAAGAAGCCTCCTCACTGGCCTAATCAACCCAGATGGGATCTGTAAAGGAACTCAGTCCCCATGGTGCTGCTCTGGGACTTCACGACACCCCAGGCCCCAGCAGAGGCTGCTCGCAGGCTGGAGGCTGCTGGATTGGGCAGACATTGCTGGATGTGAGCCAGCCTGGAATGCCTGCCCCTCACATACACACACAGGCACACACACTCACATAGCTTGTCTGCCCCTGCCTTTCATGATGGGCCCTTACACACCCAAGGGGAGAGCCACACTCCTCGCATTCTGAGCCACAATTCCTAGAGAGTGTGGTTCTTGTGCTTCTAAGCCTGATCTGCAGTTCCTCAGACTGCTCTCTCAACCTCCTTAGATAAGGGAGTTGGCCACTCTTTAATAGGATCATGAAGAAAGGGACGAGGGACCAGCAGTTAGCGTAATGGCTATGTCGCTGGACTCCCATGTAGTCGACCATGGTTTGAGTCCCGGACCCGGTGGCTTAAACTCATACTGGGCGTGTGTGCATGTGTGCCCAAGATCCCAAGAGGAGAATGGAGAAGAAGGGATTGCAGTGTGGCCATCCCCCTTGGGGGGTGATTTCTCGCTTTCTATCTCTCTGTCTCTCTCTGTCTCTCCGCCTTTCTGGCGAGCGCACGCACCCTATAGCAAAAACCTCTAAAATAAATAAATAAATAAATAAATAAATAAGATGGATTATAAAATGGGGTTTGGTCATAGATTTCATGACATCAGGGCTACTCTGGGCAACAGATCATTACAGCCATACACAGAAGAGATCTCTGATGTGAGAACAGACTGTTATTTCTAACGAAGAAAAAAAATGAGAATAAAGGTTAGTGCTTTTTCTCACACCAATGATTTAATTTTGGCAATAAGTTTCCCATGTTAAAATAATAATTGCAGATTACTTTAATATTTTTTTCTTTTTTATATTTTTAAAATTATTATTATTATTATTATTATTATTATTGGAGAGGTTTTCATCAGCGTGGATAAGAGTTGTGTGTAAAATTGATCAATTATTTCTAGTCTCAATAAACTGTAGCCTTTGAGAGGTCAGAGACCTTTCTAGAAAATACGTCAATTTGAGACCAGCAGTTAGCGTAATGGCTATGTCGCTGGATTCCCACGTAGTCGACTGTGGTTCGCATCCCGGACCCGGTGGCTTAAAACTTACATCGGGCGTGTGTGCGTGTGTGCCCAAGATCCTGAGAGGAGAATGCAGGAGAAGGGATTGCAGTGTGGCCATCCCCGCTGGGGGGTGATTTCTTGCTTTCTGTCTCTCTGTCTTTCTCTGTCTGTCTGGCGAGCACACGCACCCTATAGCAAGAACCTCTTAAAAAAAAAAAAAAAGAAAAAACGTCAATTAAATAAACCAACAAACGTATTTAATCGTTGTCTGCATTACTGAAAAATCCTTTGTCTGTATACTTTATGTCGAGTAAAGCAAGCTGAAAGTCAGACCTTTAAAATGAAAATACTCACACCTGTCAATTTTTAGGTGAAGATTTCGGAAATCTTGCAGAAGAGATAAACTGAATTCTACTGGGCTTTGCTTGTTTTTCTATTTAAGAATAGAAATATTTAGCAGACACCAATATTTTTCCTCCTTACTCTATTTGTCAGATTTAATATAAAAATATTCTGAGGTTGGCTTTTAAAGAACAAGGATAGAGTAAGCAGGAAATAAATAAAAACCTATGTTTTGGGGAAGTGAGAGAGTAAATAAACTCCTAAAAAGCTTCTTCCATCCCTGCAGAACAAGAAACAGAAGACAGAAGGTATTTTTCTTAAATGCCCTACGTGGGTATTAAAGGAGTGTGTGTGAATGCACCCACCTGTCCCCATGCTGTCATCCACACAGACACTCTCTGGCTTCAGAACCCCATTTTCCTTTCTTTCTGAATCACATTCCAGATAAGACAGTCTCATTACTCCTAGACACGAGATTGCTGTTTTCTTTTCTTCGTGGAAGATAAAGATGGAAAAGGCACATTTCCTGCCCCGAATTTCAAAATATCCATGACATTTAGCTTTGTAAAGAATAGGGAAGCATCTTACGGTAGCTGAGAAATTACCATGAGCGAGTTTAAAACAGATGAGCAGAACTCCTGACAGCAGGACAGGCCCTAGCTCCCTGGTACCTGCCCCGCCCTCGTCACCTAATTTATCTGGCTGCTTGTTAACACCTTGTTTCTCATCTCGGCCTTCCAGTGTTTCTGTAATAACGGAAGACAAGACAATTCGATGATGGGAAAATGGAGCTTCCCTTGTGATCAAAAGAATGAAGCAGAACGTCCACCTCTCCGGTCAAGTTGATCTAATCGGAGTAGAACGTACATCCAAGAACTCTCTTGACTGTCAGTGGGAAAGGGCTTTGGAGAAATCTCCTGTGGGAGCCAGCAGGTGGCATGGTGATTACGGGTGCTGGACTCCCACGTGGCTGATTGTGGTTCAAGTCCCGGACTTGGCAGCTTGCTTTCTCACTTTCCCTCCCTCTCTATCTCTCTCTCACTCTGTTCCTCTCTGATCAAATTAAAATAAATAAAGTTCAATAAAATAATTCTAAAAAAATAAATCCACTGTATATCCTGGACAAAAAGAGACCATAGTTCAGAGTGCTTCAGGCCATTAATGCAAAATTCCCTCCTCATACACACACCCAGCCAAGCTGGTGGCTCCGTGCCTGAATTGTTGACCCCTCAACGTAGGTGTTGAGAAAAATAACAATAAGGCCAGAGGCAGCAACATGGGAATGCTCTTCTGATCTTGATTTCTCCCTAGCTGCAGACCTCTGATCACGGTTAGGGGATGTGTGAACACACATACGAATTAGCATGAGGTCCTCGTTCATGACACATCGTCCCTCTCCACGACTCCCCCCTCCAATCCCTGAAGTTGAAATAAAAATAACGGAATTAACGAAAGCAGACAGATTAATGGACTGCTGGGCTAAATTGCTGCCTCTGGATACTGTAATTTTCAAAAAGTCATTTAATTGCTTCGTATTTCTGATTCTTCATGGATAAAAGCGGATTAGATGTGATAGAGAAAATGATTGCTTGGGAAATGTTTTAGATAACTGTGTTACTGTCCTTGACTGCAAAGGCAGCTTGGGAGAAATAGCAAGAACGATTTCTGCATGGGGTAAGTCAGCTCACAAGGCACACGGCCACAGGCCACGTACTTACCGATGACCACAGTGTTATCGTCGGCGATTAACAGCTTGCTGTGCACATAGATGAGCTCAGTGACGAGGTTCCCTTCCAGCTCTGCGTGTGTTCTGAGACCACAGAATGATATGTAGTTTATCCACTGATTACCAACTGTAAATTCAAAAGGAAATGACTAAAATTAACATGACCAATTACAATAAAGGCACATTAAATTTTATTGTTTTGTACAATGAATATATGACTTAAATGGGCTGTTCAAAACAGATTTCAGAATTCACCCAGAAACTGTTTTTTTTTTTTTTTAATCTTATTTGAGGGGTTTTATACTGTTACTCTGAATGGAAGTATAGTGAAAAGTATCAGAACGTGGCCTGCAGGTGGCATGGTGGTTAAGGCGCTGGACTCCACATAGCCACTCACAGTATGAGACCCAGAATCAGTGGCTTGCTTTCTCACTTTCCTTTTCTCTTTCTTTCTCTGGTTAAAAACTAATAATGACAATGGTAAATGAAGTTAAATAAATAATTCCTTAAAAATATAAGGTTGACGTGCCTTCTGTCTTCCTTTTGGTGAAGCAATCCAAAAATACATTCAAATATGTATGTCTTCTTTTTTATTTTTGAGAGAGAGAGGTTTTTTGCTATAGGGCATTTGCGGTCACCAGAGAGAGAGAAAGAAAGTGAGAAATCACACCCCAGGGTTGATGGCAATCCCTTCTCCTCCATTCTCCTTTTGGGATTTTGGGCATGCATGTGTGCACATGCACCTGGCGTGAGTTCTAAGTCATCAGGGCCAGGACTTGAACCATGGTAGATTACGTGGGAGTCCAATGACATAACCATTATGCCATCTGCTGGTTCACGAATGTCCTATTTTAATGATTTATTGAGTAACTACTGAAGAGCGGAGGTGACTGCTGAGCGAGCACAGGTAACCCCAGACTTCAGCGGTGTCTGCTCCCGTCTCATTGACACTTGTCGCTGTTTGAATCGGCTGCAGGGTGCATGCTCGCCCACCTACCACAGACAGTTCACAGCACACCCGGTGCAAAGCAGCAGTTAAATCTTACAGGCCTGGAGGGAAGGAGTGCTGGCATTTAAAAAGCCCTTCTTCCTCTAGACAGTTCAAATTAGGAAACTAAAGAACCCTGACTACTTGACCGAGAGGATTTCCCCCAGAACGAACGGTACCAGGCTTGTACCTTAAAACGCTGCCCTGCTCAGCTACCGTGAGGCCGTCCTGTGATAAGGAGCATGCACCCCACACCCAGCCAACCCAGAACCATTTCCCTGGTGTGAGTGTTAATCACGGATTCTAGGGTCCCTGTCCCCGCAGCAGTCGTCCTGGATAAGCAGAGTCTGACACTAAGAATAAATGGAGTGGAACCAAACCATCACAAATTCTAATAGAAAGGGAGCATCCCTTTTTCTTTTCTCTATGAGAGTCTGAAGCATACTAATAGAGTTATGTTCCATTTACTGATCCTTCCACCTGTTACTGATGTTTTCTATTTGGCTGTTGATGGTATCCAGTGTTTTCCATTAAGCTTGAGGATCTTGGAGATGTTTCATTCTCAGGTTACATACAGACTCCCCTCTTACCCACACATATGAATGATCTCGTAGCTGTGTTTGACAAGGGTTGATGTCTTGGGACACTAGTGCATCATCTGTAAGAGGCTCATATTTAAAACTGTCATGTGAAGGAGATTTTTGAACATCCTTCTTTAGGGATATTTCCCCGTTTGTTATACTATATTAGCAAAATGCTTCATTTAAAGCATTACCTCTTCTTTTAAATTCTTCTCTGATCCAAAAAAGAGGAGCATTCCTTTTTTTCGTTTTTAGTTTTTGCTATAGGATCTGTGAGCTTGTCAGCGAGAGACAGAGAGACAGAGAAAGGGGAAGTGAGGAATCTCTCCCACAGAGGAAATGGCCATGCTTCAAGCCCTCCTCCTCCTTGGGATTTTGGGCATGCACACACTCTCCTGGCATAATGTTCAGGCTGGTGGGCCTGGGACTCGAGTCACATGGTCAGCCATGTGGGACCTAGCACCTCCAGGCCACCTGCTGGCCCTTCAAAGAGTAGCCCCTCTTTTAAGTCCTTTGGGACCACAAACTTTCTGGGAAACATTTCTGCTATAATGCTAATTTTAACAAATATACATAGAATCCTCTACTGGTACAGGAACTGGGTCACACACACCGTGCTGTGCTCATCCTTGTATAGCAGAGACAGATGCTGAACAAACCAGTGAATGGACTAACGGTTACAAATTCAGGTGACAGCTGAGATTTCAGCTTTCGATCTCTGTATTAACTGCTTTCCTGTAGCTGGTTCTAGAATCTAAAGTTTTAAGATGCAAAGCAGCTTTTTAAAGAAATCATAGAGCAAATTCTGTACTAACATAAATACTAAAAAGTAGTTTTTCAATAAAAATTCACATAGAATAATATAGACCAGTGGTTCTCAGTGTGCATCAGAACTACCTTTGTGAAACTTGTTAAAAGCAGATTTCCTGGGACCAGCAGGTGGCGTAGTGATTAAGGTGTTGGACTCCCACATGGCTGACGGCAGTTCTAGTCCCAGATCCAGCAGCTTGAAACTCACACTGGGCATGTGTGTGTGCTTGCCCAAAATTCTAAGAGGAGAATGGAGGAGAATAGACTGTGGCATGGTCAACCCCATCCCCCAGGGGATGATTTCTCACTTCTCTTTCTCTGTGTCTCTGGTCAGCGCACATGCCCCATGGCTCAACCATGGTGTCACTGCTAAGACCCTGTGACCTGCAGGCTGGAACCAAAGAGGAAGTCTTGGTTTGATTCCTGGTCTGACCTAAAGGTCAAGTCTAGGGGTGCGGGCCTGAAACTCCAGTGACTTCAGAGGCTGAGGCAAGAGTGTGTGTGTGTGTGTTAATATAGATAGATGATAGATACATAGCTGATATATGTACATATATATACATCAGATTCCTGTGACCCTTCCCAGAACTCTGATTCAGGAGAAACCAACTCATCAAGTACCTCAGCATATTGGCAAACAAACAAACAAACAAACAACATATAACAACATATTCTGTTGGTTAAAATGGGTTGAAGCACATTCTTTATATATATGTGATAAGAAGGCAAATTGGTATAAAGAGTTTGGAGGGGGACCAGCAGTTGGCATAATGGCTATGTCGCTGGACTCCCATGTAGTCCCTTGAAGATAAGGAGTGTAGTGACTGGCCTTCAGAAGTGGACAATGGCTAGCTGAGACAATCATTGAAGCTGATCCTCTTGCAACGACACGAGAAGTTGCCAACGAACTCAACGTTGACCATTCTATGGTCATTCAACATTTGAAGCAAATTGCGAAGGTGAAAAAGCTCAATAAGTGGGTGCCTCTTGAGCAGACTGAAAAGAAAAATTGTTTTGAAGTGTCCTCATCCCTTGTTCTATGTAACAACAATGAACCAGTTCTCAATCGATTTGTGATATGCGATGAAAAGTGAATTTTATACAACCGTCGGCAACAACCAGCTCAGTGTCAGACCAAGAGGCACTCCAAACCATCTCCCAAAGCCAAACTTCCACCAAAAAGTGCCATGGACACTTTTGTAGGGTCTGATCCACTACAGCTTTCTGAATCTCGGTGAGACCATGACATCTGAGAAGTAAGCTCAGCAACCATGAGACACACCAAAACCTGCAACCTGCAGCTGGCATTGGTCAACAGGAAGGACCCAACTCTTCTCCATGACAACACCCGACCAACGTTTGAAGACCAACATCGCTCAATCGACGCTTCAAGAGTGGAATTAAACTATGAAGTTTTGCCTCATCCACCATATTCACCTGACCTCTCACCAAGCAACTACCACTTCTTCAAGCTCTCAACAACCTCTTGCAGGGAAAATGCTTCCACAACCAGCAAGATGCAGAAGACGCTTTCCAAGGGTTCATTGAAACGTGAAGCACAGATTTCTATGCTACTAAACAAACGAGCTTATTTCTCATTAGCGATGTGTTAATTGTAATGGTTTCTATTTTTATGAATAAATATGTGTTTGAGCTTAGCTATAATGATTTAAAATTCACGATCCAAGAAGGCAACTGCTCTTGCATCAACTTAATATTTAGGAGTAAACAGACGTGATGGTTGTGACTGATTCTAAAAGCGTTCAGGTTAGCAAAAATCCATCCAGGTGGCTACCTACTGAGAGAGGATTAGGAAGCAGAGAAAGTGAAGTGTTGACATTTGGGAAATCAAGGTAAATAGTACACGGCAGTTCCAAAACAGTTCTGTAAGTCCGAAATTATTTCAAAACGTCTTTTTAGGTAGTGATACTAACTAGCTCTTAGCAACCTGAAGGCTAAAGACATGTCATAATTTATAACTTTCTACAGTACTGATATGTGCATTTCCTAACAAAATAGTCCCAGCCCAGTATCGGTTCGTCGGAGAACATCTCAAGCCACAGTCCAGACTGACTTCCCATTCACCCTTTTCTACGCAGCAAGTCTTAGGAAATGATAATACCTTTATCTCTTTATTTAAAAAAATGATCTTGAGAAAAACAGCCCACAGTTTCACTAACAGGACAGAAAAGAAAGATAATGGTTCCTAATCCTACTGGGCATTTGGCATAGACACACGGGTGGTCTGTCAAACGCAATGGGGCTGTCCATCTATGACGTGAATGAATCCACTTCATATTCTGCATGGAAATAAGAAAAGCAAACTGCGAAGATATTTGGCCAGTGCTTAGTTCTGTGAAGAAACTGCTTCGTCATGTAATGGGCACAACATCGGTGATGTTCATGTGTGGTTGGAGGCCACACTGAGGAAATAGTACCTACTGAAAACCTGAGACTGCTAGGATCATCTACAAGCATTCATATGTAGCAATAGATGGACAGGTATCAGGAAGGTTTCCAGATTACTTGTCGTGAAGTTACCGAACATCTGGAGATTTATACAAACCCCAGGACAAACTTGTCATAAACACCCGTGTGCACACATCTGGACTGAAGAAAAACTCAATGCCGTGGAGTCTTGATGTTCACAAATTTCATGAAGGGACATCAATAGTTATCGCAGGCTTTTGTCATCTGAAAACTTGTAGTGCTTTGTGTATATGCATTTCTAATCCTAATTAAATATCTCAGGCCCTTATGTTAAATTGTACTAAATTGGCTGCTAAAATGCGGCAATTCATAAAAATGATGAAGAAATGCTTTAAATTAAACATTAAGTCTCTGAAGATTTGAGTATCAGATAATTATACACCAACTGCTGGTTTTCTTTCAGGACTTTTAACATATTCATAGCAGCAGTTTTGTTATTATAAATAATTGAAACAGTGGAGAACTATATTTCTCTATCCAATTAGCAGTTAGCTAGTTCACGTATTGAAAACCCACTACACATTTACAAAAACAAAACCAACAATACCCTCTTGCACCTCAGGGAGGGGCAGTGTGCAATTAATCTGTTCTCTCCGTGTTTAGAATATGAACATTTTCCCCACTGAGATGCCTAATTTTGACTTGCTCCCAGGGTATTTGGAAATCTTTTCATTAATGGGCTTAACATTGGAATTACTTATTGTGTTAACATCCAATTTCTTCCCTCCCTGAATAAGTAAATTCAGGAAAACGGTCCGGAGCCCAAGGAAATGCCTCAGAATAAGCCCAGGACATTTTTACAATTGAGCAACTAAATAATAAGCTCATTTTGATTTTTTTTATACTCCTGCAAGTTCACTTTTGCATTTTTACAAGCCACTGTTTGCAAAATGGTTTTGCAGATTTTATTTAATTAATTAGCTTTATAGATTTCCTTATTCACTGTAGTCATCACTGTAAGCCACTAGAAAATAGAGATCAAGAGAATGCTCTTAATCTTCTCTGTCCTGGGCTCAATTAGATACAACCTTTGTGACTGGTAATGTGCATGTCTTATGTCCTAGAAGAGGTTTCTAAAGTTCTGTAGATGGAGCAGACCATCAGTGAGAAAGTATTGGCACTCAACACCTAAATATATATATAGTACGTATACACACATATATATAAAAATGCATATTTTGAAATTATATACATATATTAAAAACTTAAATTATTACTTTTTAAGCTTAAAATCATTTAAAATTTCATAAAATTTATCAATTTTATCCTTAAACTTATACCATAAGATTCATCTCTTTAAAATGTGTAATTCCATGGGTTTTTAAAAGGCTTATTCATGAAGCTGTACAAGCACCATAACTGCCTAATTTAAGACATTTTTACCACCCCGAAAAGAAACCAAATAATCATCAGCACTCGCTCCCCATCCCTCCCTCCCCCCGGACTCTGGCAATACTAATGTACTTTCCTCTTGAGTTTGAATATTAAAGATATTCAGAAAAATGGAACCATAGAAGATGTGGCTTTCGTGCCTGGCTTCTTTCACATGGTGTAACATTTTTGAGGTTCGTCCATGTTATAGCATGTATTAGTAAATTTCTTTTCATATCTAAATAATATTCCATCCTGTGGATATACCACATTTCATTTAGACAGTAATCGGTTAGTGGACATTAGGGTTTTTCTACTTTGGCTATGATGACTAGAGCTGTTATAAACATCTAGGCTCAAGTTTTTGTGTAGACACATGTTTTCAATTCTTCTAAGTACAAACTAGCGGAGGACTGTGAGGTTCCATGATAATTCTATGTTTAACTTTTGAAGAACTGCCAAAGTGTTTTCCAAAGTGGTTGCACAATTTTGCACTGCTAGGTCCCATTCTGTGTCATTGCCAAAACTTCATTATTATCGCTGTTATTGACTTTGAATTGGTGTGAAATCGTACCTCCTCCTGGTTCTGATTTGAATTTCCCTAATGACTAACAATGATGACACCCTTTTGTGTTATTTGCCATCTGTATATCTTCTTTGAAAAAAAAATAAATAAAAAGGTCTATTTAGATCCTGGCGTGGCCTGTCCTGTCACTACAAACAGATACCCTTGTCTGAGTCCTTGGAGACAACAGAGGTGCATTTAGATCATGGTTTTGTTATTCTATTAACACCATATATTACAATGATGGATTTTTTCCTAAGACAGATCCCACTCGATCACAATGTGTAATCTTTTTTATAGTGTTGGCTTTGGTTTAGTAGTGTTTCACTGAGGCATTTGGCTTTCTTTTCGTAACATTTATGTTTGTTGTCTTCATTTTCATCTATCGAAAAGCGTTTTCCACTCTTCCTTGAAGATCTTCTTTGATCCTTTGGTTAGTTAGAAATGCATTGTGCAATTCCCGTTCAATTTCCACCTACTTGTGAAGTTCCAGCATTTCTTTTTGTCATTTATAATTGTATTCCACTCTCCCTAGGGAACATATTTTATATGATTTCTTAAATGCCTGGAACCAGAGTCTCTTACCCATTACTGAGGGCTCTGGGGGTGTGCTGGTTAGGAGGTTAGCCAGAGGGAAGTGCTTAAGGCTTGTCAAGTCTCTCCTGCAGATGTCCATGGCCCTTGGTATGCATGTGTAGTCTTTTAGACTTCTGGAAATATGTTGGGGTTTCCAATATCCACTATGGGATTCTCCTTCCTTTCTTCTTTTTTTTAAAGAGAGATTTATGCCATGGGGAGAGTGTACTCACTAGAGAGACAGAGAGAGACAGACAGAAAGCAAGAAATCACCCCCTGGGGGGATGGCCACTCAGCAATCCCTTCTCCTCCAATCTCCTCCTGAGATTTTGGGCATGTACACACACCTGCCCGGCATGATTTTCAAGCCACCAGGTCCAGGACTTGAACTGCAGTCAGCCATCCTATGATGGCTAAGTCGGCCAGTCCTAAGAGCTTAGCCACAACCCCACCTACTGGCCCCAATTCCTTATTGGTTAGTTAAAAATGTAAAAACTTGGAAAGTCTAATATTTCCCCTCAGATTCCAAAGCCTCCTTTAGCACTTCTCATTTAGGAGGCTACCAGTATAAAATCTTTCTTCAAAAACTCAGTTGAGGTTTACACTGTGTCTGAAGGCCACATCATTGGCGTCATGTGATCATGGTGGCTCCTGGCTTTCCCAGACATCTTAGCGGCCGCTCTACCCTGCTGGTCAGTGGGTTAAACTTTTAGAGTTATCAAATCCGTCCTTTCCCTCCAGCTCCCACATCACCTCAAGTCTTCCTTCAAGACCTGTTCACACCTGGCCCTCCTTTTCTCTCACCAGTGCGCCATTATCTTTTGCCCAACACCAGTCTCTCTCCCCTACCCTGCTGACCAATAGTAAGTGAATCTTCATGTCAACACCACGTGGATGACTTTGGCCCAGGACTCAAAGGCTTCTACCAACCTCATCTTGTCTTCTGGATAAAATCCAGTCTTTGGTATGGCTGTCTAAGTTTTAAGAACATGGACTCAATTTACATGGAGATCAGACATTGGGTTCTGACTCCAGCTAAGCTGGGTGGGGCCTTTTGCACCTGCTGTGGGCAGTACAGGAAAGCATGATATTAAGTACTGTGTGCTGACGTCAGAGTTAGCTCAGGGAGATGTCGACATATAGTTACAATATGCTGTAGCCAGGAATGACATAGGAGGATCCCTTTTTTAAAAATATCTCATTTGAGAGACTAGCAGATGGCGTAATGGTTATGTCGTTGGACTCCCACATAGGTGATCATGGTTCAAGCCCTGGATCTGGCAGCCTAACTCTCATGCCAGGAGCATGTGCATGTGTGCCCAAGATTCTGAGAGGAGAATGGAGGAGAAGGGATTGTGGCATGGCCATCCCCTGGGGTGGGGGGTGATTTCTCGCTTTCTGTCTCTCTGTCTCAGCAAAAGTCTCTCAAAAAAATAATAAAACAAACAAACAAACCAAAAAACTCATTTGAAAAGTGTGAAGAACTACAGAAGTGAAAGGTCTCTGTGTGTGTTTATCTATCCACCTCTGTATGATAATCGCCAAGTCAGTCACATGTTAGACGGTTGTATACCGGCCTTTCTTCCTTACGTATAAGTAAGCGCTGTGAGAACCTGAGACGTTCACTTGTACGAAAGTCACATAAATACATAAATCCTGCTGACCTCGCAGCACTCGCTTCTCATTGTTAGAACAGGAGTGCCACCTGTCCTGCCTGCTCTTCGGAGGAACAGGCTCAGGATCTGTATGGCACACGGTGGTGGAGACCACGCACGTGGGGTCTGTGTGAACGTTTTACAGATTTCAGCTCTTATCAAAACAACGGTTTATAAAAATAAATCATAAAAACACTATTGTTACTGAGTCGTTGGGAAAGACATGCCATATTTTTGCACAGAAAGACATGCCACATTTTGCACAGAAAAATACATCATGACCTTCCTGACAACCTAATATATTAAACTGACAAGAAATAACTGCACCTATTTATGGGAAACATCGTGACATTCTGATAATGTATACACAGTGCAGTGATCAAATCAAGGCTATTCTTCCTCACCCTTGGAAATGCGCGGTAATTCTATGTAACAGCAATTCATTGTGTATTTCCCAAAAGCTGTATTTCCCTGCATTAAAAAGGACTCCCATTTTTTACTGCCTTTGCACCTTAAGTCCTGGTGTCTTTATCTGAACATTGGTTTAAACAATTTAATAAGAATAGTTTATCTCGGGTGAGCATTTTGTGGGGTAACTTTCATGAACAGAGTTCCATAAACATACTATAAAAAACCTTATAGATCACAGGTACTTTGATCAAAAATGACCACAGAGAAAAGAAAAAGCATTTACTTACGCTCTGCTTTTAACTGTCCAAGGATGGAATTTTCCCCTCTGCACATGGTTCTAAAAGCACAAAAAGGAAAAAAATAATTGTAGATGTTTTAAAACAATGGATTCTAATGCCAATATTTGTGATTTTTATTTTAATCCAAGTAAAAAACAAACAAGTGCTTATATGAGAAGATGCTATATACATTTTAAGAGCAAAAAAAAAATCACATAATGATCATTTTTATGTTATTAACAGGACAAAGTAGGTATTTTAAGGTGAGTGAATGGAACTATCACAAAATTGATGCTAGATTTTAGGAAAAGAGGCTATTTTTAAAAAATATGGATTATGAATGAATTTTTCCACTTAGAAAATTTGGTGACAAGATAAATTCCAAATGCCTCTACAGATAAGAAGACCCACAGAATCACCTTGCTAGCAGAGATGGCGAGGACAAACATTTAGAGTAATTTAGGAATTCGACGAACTATTATACTGTGTTGTCTCTACAAAGTCTGCCTCTTAACAGTAAAAAACACAGCCTCAAAGAATGAATTTTGCTAATCTTGTTTCTCAAGATTCTGATAATAGTTGATGAATTACAAAGATTGATAAAACCAAAAATTTTAGGTTCCATCTGCTTGCTTTATGAAAGTAATTAAAAACACAGTTATGCTTAAGAAGCACTGAAATTATTAAAGATGATGCCAGCAAATAGATATTTTCTGCATAATAAAAGGTTATAATTTTGGTGGCTGAACAAAAGCCAAACATGTTATTTCACTCTGCTGGTTCAAACTCAAGAAAATAGTCATAGAAAATAATTACAACTGACAATATTCCAAAAATAATATTAGAATGGCAAATGAAGTGGATAGAATCCAATTAACATTATGTCAGTGCCTGAAATCCTTGAAAAGCTTTGTTTGTCATATTATAAATCTGATAACATTAGAAATGGGCACACCTTCAACCCCAGAGTATAGACCAAACCACAGGTAAAATTCCCTCATACCGTAACAAGGCAAGATGACCATAGAGGAAACAAAGAAATATTTTCTTGAAATCTTGGCAAATAGCTACAAGCTTGAAAAGTCCGTGAGAAACAAGGAGATTTAAAAAAAAAAAAAAAAAAAAAAGATTTGCCCTACAGTGGAGGCTTCGGACCGCATCCAGAGGAGTATCCAGTCCTGCAGAGGTTGCCTCTGCTCAAAGGGCCTGAGCAAGAAGACATCGAAGCCCTCAACTGCACTTTGACCAAGGCTCTGACCCTCTGCTTCTCTATACACCATATCTCTCTGTAAAGTTCCATTCGTTCCCTCCTACTACCAAAAACGGTTTGATTAGAAAGGTTACAAAAAAAAAAAAAAAGTGAATGTGGTTTGGAAAAATATTAGGCCAGCTCCATGGTGCAGTGATAAGCCCCGCTCATGAGAAGTCAGAATACAGATGGCAACCAGGGTTTGAACTCCAGCCCATTTGAACCGAGACACACTGCACACGTGCACGAGAGACCAGGTTGCCAGCATGGCCAGACCCTGCGGAAGGCGCTCCTCCCCTTCTCTGTCTCTTACTTCCAGGTGTGTGCACACATCCTTTATCATAAATAAAGAAAAAGAGACAGAACACTCAGGTCTGGTCACTGCCCGACTTACTGCAAGTGTGATTCTGATGAGGATTTTTCGTATCTCGGGTCACTGCGTTCCGGACTGGGAGCTGGATTCACGCCCAGGCTTGTCCGCTCACCTTTTCGCGTTTCTCTCACAGCTCAGTGACCAGGGAGGTGGTCAGGGTGCTTTTCTACCTCCTTCTGTGCAGCTTCTCCACACCATCCCACCCAGCTGGCACCTCCCAGACCTCCTGATCAACTCCACTGGCCTTTTTGGGTGAATATAGAAACTGCTTTTCAAAGTGGTAAAGGGAAACACATGCCACATGGCTGACTGTGGTTCCAGTTCTGGCCCTGGAAGCTTGAAAAGTCAGCCAGGCATGTTTTCAACGCTGACAGGATGGAGAAATGGAAGAAAAGGGATTGTGGTGTGACCACGCCCCACACGGGGAGGCTTTCTCTCCCCATTCCTTCCTCTGTCTCTCCTGCTCTCTGGCAAGCAAACACACTCATTGACAATTTAATTAAATAATTCATTTTAAAAGTATATATGGACAAGACTTTCCACTTTCCCTAAAGTTTAAACAGAATTAAAACTCTAGGAAATAAGACAGAAATTTCATGCTTCATTTACCAACCAAATATTATTACTAATTTTATGGAAGGATTTGCTATGTAAAGACTCAAAACCAAATACACGCAAATTGTACCATTTTAGGCATCTCGTTTTGTCCCTTGTTTGTCTCCTTACTGCAAAGAATGCAAAAAGCTCAACAGCTATTTACCTTCCTAGGGAACGCAGAGTGAGGCTATTATTTTCCAGACACATTGTCCATGTGCGTGGATAAGAGAGGGACTGATATTTCAGCTGATTGTTACTAGCCGTGTTTCCCAGCCCCAGCATTTATGGTCTCAGGCTCCGTTTGAATAGTTTTGACTAGTAAACAGGTCAAGATTCAAAAGCATAATAAAGAGAAAAGAGCTCATTTGTCCCTGTGGCCCTGCGCAGGCGTGGACAGCGTTAACCAGCTTCCACGCGCTGCTGATCGAAAGCTCAGACCTGGTTTAGGAGGACGCACCTGTAGTTGAAGTGCATTATCGCCTGCAGAGCGTTGCCTCCACCGGTGGAAATGTCTCCTTCGAACCCCGGCAGAAGCGGTATGACCACATACACCCGGTACTTCCGGCCTTCCCTGCAAAAGTCAGACGCAGAGAAATTCACCAACCAAAGATAAAGTATTCATGATCGATGACGGCCAAGCGTTTCACACGGGCTCAAAAACCGAGCCGCTTTCTAGGCATTCTATCACATTTAGGGCTTGGGGGATGCTGTTAGGCAGGCGGCCAGACACTCATCCAAGCTCTCAATCCATAACTTGAACAAGAAGCTGAACTGGGCGGTGAGTGGGGGTCATAGCTACTCTTTCTCCACAGCATCATCCTTCATAGGATGGAATCCGGTGGGAGAAACCATTGCTTAGATCACAGGCAAAGCTGGGGGTGGGCTAGGACAAAGTTTTGAAAAAGATGTTACCTTAATAGTTACACGTATAATAAACCATACCCACAGCACCTAGCTCAGAGCCAGGCGATAGCAGGCATTCATTCAATAATCACTAAGTGAGTTCCCCCAGCCTAGATCTGAGGGGCAAAACACAGCGAGTCCCGCATACTTCCGAACAGAAGTCACCATTGCTTAGGAACCCCGGCATTTCAGCTGCAAAAATGTTACCCTGGGGAACCAGCAGTTAGCGTAATGGCTATGTCGCTGGACTCCCACGTAGTCGACCATGGTTCGCATCCCAGACCCGGTGGCTTAAAACTCATGCCAGGCATGTGTGTGTGCGTGCCCAAGATCCTGAGAGGAGAATGGAGGAGAAGGGATTGCGGCGTGACCATCCCCCCTGGGGGGTGATTTCTTGCTTTCTCTCTCTATGTCTCTCTCTGTCTGTGTGGTGAGCGCACGCGCCCTATAGCGAAAACCTCTCCAAAAAAACAAACAAAAAAACGTTACCCTGGACCTTTCAAGAATTCTGGGTGACTAATGATTATTTTAAATCTCCTGGACACGTAAGACCATATTTCTTGGCCCACTCTCCCAATGTACTAAAGACAACTTGAAAGAAAGAGAATCTTATTTAATGATTTAACAATAGAAGAGAGAAAAACGTAGCTCCCCACTTTGCATTCAGAAAGTAAAAACACTGCAAGAATTATACTGAAATAGGTATCATCTATTAGGAATAAAAAATTACTAAAGTCTTTGTTTCCATTTACAAGAGACACAGGGAAAAACAAGCCTAGAAACAGCATATCCATCGTGGTCATCCAATTTCGCCGGCAAGTCTGTGCTCACACAAAGGTGTTGCTCCTGGGTAAGTTTCAGATCTGACCTGACTGAAGCTTTCCAAAATAGTTCACTTTTAAAGCTCGATTTCTTTTAAGCAAAACGTTTTTCTTTCAGCCGAATATCATTACTGCTTTCTGAGGGGTGGTGTTCTAGCCGTGCTGTCTCTGAGTGTCAATGTACCTGTCAGGGTATGTGGAAAGGGAAGTCGGGGCGGAAGGGGCTGCCTGGCTGCTGAGTTGAGAAAGAGGACTTCAAGGAGGCGGCTGCAATGGCATGGATTAATCACTAGATGGCAAACACAGTTTGAGCTGGAAAGAAATCGTTTAAAAAATAAGAACTTTTCTCTGCTTGATAAGGGTAAAGGGCTCACATCCGTAAATGGCAAACAAGATAGTGGAAAAGGACAGGAAGAATCTCTGCGCTCTCTCTCCATCGCCAGCATTTAAAAGTCCACGCGAATTCAATCAGACACTTACAAATGCACACACTTGGCCTTAACCGCCTCTCCGGACTCATCTGACAGCCTGGGCCTCCCATTCTCCCACAGGTGACAAGAAACTCCTGCCTGGTGTTCAGGATCACCTCTCCACTAAGGGAGCTTGGCGCATCAGCTCCCAGGGGCTGGAATGAACACCTGTTCTCCCAGGTCACCGGAGAGGACGCGTCCTCGGTCAGACACCGTGGTCAGGGCCATTTGCTTTGGGAAGATAGGATCAGGTGGGAGAATGTTTCTGGGGAAGGCTTCAATAGGGAATAAATTAACCTGCGTAAGAGCTCTCTTTGTCTTTCTCTTTCTTCCTTTAAACATTTGTCAGAGGTTGTGTGCACTTGCCAGAGACAGAGATATAGAGAGAAAGATGGACCGTGACAGAGCTCTCCCCATGGGGTGTGTTCACATCACAATCCCTTCTCCGCCCTCTTTCCCACTTTGTGGGCATGCACACTCATCGCCAGGTCCAGGGCTTGAATCCTTCAGGCGGCCATGAGGATCCAGCCGCCTTATCCACCATGTTATTGGCTGAGCCAGAACTCTCCTTTAAATACATTTTATTTGAAAAGTTTATTGTGGTAAAAATACATTCTATATAATATAAAAATCATATAATTCTAGTGTATTTGTAACTCCATTTTAGCCATTTTTGAATGTTTGGTCCAATGGCATTAATTACATTCGCGATGTTGTACAATTACCATGGCTAACTATTCTCAAAACTTTGTCATCGTCCTAAACAGAACCTCAGTAGCTCTTAGGCGGTAACTGCCCCACTTCCCTCCCCGGCATCCCCTGATAACTGGGAATCTGCTTTCTGTCTCTAGCTGCTGCAGAGAAGTGGAATCATGGGCCATTCATCGTCTGCGGCTGCTATTTCACTTGGTAAAACAGCCTTAGGGCTTATCCATGTTGAAGCATGTGTCAGAATTCACTTCCTTTTCACGGCTGCATGATGTCCTGTGATCTGTGCACACACTTATCTGTCAGTGGCCACTTGGGTTGTTTCCACCTTTGGATAATATATGCTCCAAAATGGCAGAGGTAGAAGATTCCATGGTGGAAAGAAATCTCTCACTCTTCTGCCTTCAGCTCCGTTTCCCTTTTCTGAGGGCAATTCCTGTTACGAGTTTTCTTCATGCACTTTTAGAAACAGCTTATAAATTTATAATCATATTTATTCTTTCTTTCCACAGAAATGTTGGAATACTAAAAGCACACGGGCACTTTTATGAACATTATCTTTATCATTTTGTGGTGTATCTTGGAAATCCTTCGACATCAGGACCCAGAGAGTTAATACTTTTTAAATGACAGCATTCTACCATGTAAGTCTACCTTAATATTTAAACAGTTCTCTCTGGACAGTCATTTAAGTTGTTTCTCTCTTTTTTTTTCTGCTTTGAAATAACTATTTTTATATTTCTGCTGACCCATCTAAGTCATTTTTCTTATTTGTTGGGAAAAACCTTCAAAGTGACTTTGCTAGTCTTGAACAGCACATTTTTGTGATGTTCTCTATAGAAGATGTTTTTTTCTTTTATTCTTGTGATTTTTAAAAGCAAAAAATGATGTCAAAATGGAGATCTTGTGTGTAGACTATGAGAAATGTCCTGTAAAAATCTCATAACGCATTCAGGCAAATTTTAGTTTGTAGAGTTAGTATATTCATCTATCAAGTCCCCTCCTACTTTACAAGACATCATTCTCTAATTTCCAGAGTGATGAAAATGTTAAACTGTGTTCAGCAAACTAGCTGAAACGACTTGGGTATTTTCACTGCTCTGGAATTTCAAACCATAAAACTGTGGTTGAACGAAAGCCAGTGGAGAGAAAATTTCATGCAACAGTATGTCCCACCTCGCCTTGATCCGATCCACAAGAACAGCTCCCAAATGCCCAGGACTTTAACCCTCAGAAATCCTGTGTCTTCCCCACATGGCGGTGTGCAAATGACAGCATCAGGTTAGAGTATGAACCTGAGCCTCTGATGACCAAATTTAGTTAGGACCTTAAAAGCATAACAGCTAGTGGGCACTAAGCCATGGTCCAGCCCATCGCCTCTCCTACTGCGGCTTAGAATCATTTTCTAATCTTGCACTCTCTTGTTAAAATAACTTTTTTTTTCTTTCAAAATTCACTATTATGGCAGTGCTATGAACAATGGCTAGAAACTGGAAATACATATCCAGTAATAGAGGAATGGTAACTAAACTATGCTATAGTCACTCCAGCAAATGGTCATCTTGCAGTCACCAAAAATGGGTACTGTGGGGACCAGCAGATGGCGTAATGGTTACATGGCTGGACTCCCACATAGTTCACTGCAGTTCAAGTCCCAGGCCTGGTGACTTAAAACTCACGCCAGGCTGTGTACATGTGTGCCCAAAATCCGGAGAGGAGAATGGAGTAGAAGGGACTGTGGTGTGGTCATCCTCCCTGGGGGCTGATTTCTTGCTTTCTGTCATTCTGTCTCTCTAGCAAAAACATCTCTGCCATGCACCGGAGACGCGGGCCCCGGTTGGCCCTGACTTCACCTAGCACATGTGGGCTTCATAGACTATGGCACATTATACACTGCGCACACACACACATAGTTTTTTTTTATTTATTTATCTTTTTTTAAGTATTATTTTGTTTAACTTTTATTATTATTATTACTATTATTATTATTTTCCAGTTTGATCAGAGAGAGATACAGAGAAAGAAAGAGGGAAAGTGAGAATGCAAGCTACCAGGTTCAGGACTTGAACCATGGTTAGCCATGTGGGAGTCCAGCATTTTTAACCACCATGTCACCTGCCTGCTCCAATCTTTTTGTTTTTTAAGTTTCTTTCTTTTATGAAAGTGAGAGAGATGGGGGGGGGCGGCACAAAACACTCCCAATAGTGTCCTAGGCCAAGATTTTCCAAGCCTTCCCAGAAAGGCCCAGTTATGACACACGTATCTGGCATGTGGAGATTGTGGAGACCCAAACTCTTCATCGTCCCTACGGCCCCAGCTTCATCTAAGCAGCGTGCTGTCACGGTGTCACCAAGTTGGCCCTTTAGTTACCTTCTGCAAAGGGCAAACTTTCAGATAGAAGAATGACAGGGGTTCGCGCATTGTGTTTGACTTCAACTGGACTCGATCGACTTTGGCAGGGATGTCTCTTAGCACTGCCGAATAAGAGTCTACGAAACCTTCAGCAGGTTATTCCCATGATGGCCCGGCCACTTTCGCGCTCTCCCTCCCTCTCTTTCCTCTCTGCCAGAGCACATGTCTGGTTCCAAACAATTACCGACCCTGGCCTGGTGCTGATCTGTACATTGATCAGCTGAGATGAACATTTATACGATTTTGGAAACAGAATA